AAAAACAGAACTTGTCTCTAAAGTTAAAATAGTTTCGGTAATATCAAGCGCCATTGTGAATTGGAAAAAATAATAGCAAAATAATGTTACCAGGAAAGAGGGGCAGGGGCCGACCAGCACAAAGATGGCTACACCACATAAGTAAATCACTGAATATGAAAGTACATGAGTCGACAGAGCTGGAGAGAGACCGAGTTTCTTTCAGACAGATAGTGATGACAGGGACCTTCTGCAAAGGACCTGCTACTCGATGATGATTTTTTTTTCGGTGACAATTTTTCTGTGACTTAGACTGAACATTCAGCTTTATTAGAATCACATCTCCAGGCACTATCTAAATTCCTAAAATAACCGAATCTGAGACGGTAACTTCCAGACAAATCGTGTTTAGAATATGTAATCAGGACGACACAACATTACACGGCTGTTTTTTTTTATCCCTCAGAAGCAATTACAACAGATATGCGTAAATCTTCTCCTTCTTCATATCTATCTCAATCTCCGTCTCCGCCTTCTCCGTCTCCTCCGCCTTCTCCTCCTCCTTCGTCTTCTTCTTCTTCTTCTTCTTCTTCTTCTTCTGCTTCTTTCTTCTTCTTCTTCTTCTTCTTCTTCTTCTTCTTCTTCTTCTTCTTCTTCTTCTTCTTCTTTCTTCTTCTTCTTCTTCTCTTCTTCTTTCTTCTCTTTTTTCTTCTTCTTCTTCTTTCTTCTTCTTCTTCTTCTTCTTCTTCTTCTTCTTCTTCTTCTTCGGCTTCTTCTTCTTCTTCTTCTCTTCCTTCTTCTTCTTCTTCTTCTTCTTCTTCTTCTTCTTCTTCTTCTTCTTCTTCTTCTTCTTCTTCTTTCTTCTTCTTCTTCATTCTTCTTCTTCTTCTTCTTCTTCTGTCTTTCTCTTCTTCTTCTTCTTCTTCTTCTTCTTCTTCTTCTTCTTCTTCTTCTTCTTCTTCTTCTTCTTCTTCTTCTTCTTGTCTTTCTTGTTCTTTCTTTAGGTACCAATTCAAGAACAGACATTGTTGTAGTTTTCCAATAACCCGTCTCTCATACGTAATTAAATTAAGTGACTTCATTGTAATTATTATTCCTATCTCAATTGCTTAAGTTTCTCCATACACTTCTCTTCACACTCCACAACTTCTCACCACTCTTGTCGTTTTGCAGGCATATCTCCTGAACTAATATCTCATAAGTATTTTTTGTAGCTTCTATTGCACCCCCCCCCCCCCCCCCCGACCTTCTGAAACTATGAACAAACGTCTTATACAAGACATATACACTTACTCATGTTTATGATTATTTCCCCTCGTCCCAATTCTAGATCCATACAAGAGAATGAGTCACAAACTCCTGGCAATCGCTACAGCATTGGTAACTTTCAACAATCTCTCATCCAACAACAGGTGCCGCCCAACAGACATTTGAGAAAAGGGCGGATCCCTTATAATTTTCTAGTGGCAGAGGGCGTCAGATGAACTAAGGTCTTGTTTCAGTGAGGTTAATATAATTAATATTAATATAATTATTATCAGGTGTTGACTTGCCATTTATATAATAGCAAATTGCCAATAACACGAAACTATTCCATTCATAAGAAATACTTCAAAACAGAAGGTCTATGCATGGTTTGGAAGAGAGGGAAAAAAAGAGGGGAGGGAGCATTAACCCATTTAGCATAATTTTTGGGTTAGTGGATCCCAATGTGTCTGAACCCCCAAGAATCTGGCGCTGCTGCAATCAAACTAAATGCCCCTGTTTTCTGCAACAGCTTCCAGAAAATGAAAAAAAAAAAAAAAATCCAATAATTTATACAATAAAGTCGGTTGAAAAGGCTGTTATTTATTTTAAAATTTTTTTTTTTTGTTTTTCAACAAAAACGTTTTCCGGGCCTGGCAATGATTTTGGTGCAGTCAAACCTGACTGGCGTAATAACAGTTTTCCAATTTCTCTTGTGCGTTCCCGTTGACAAGTTGGGGTCAAGGTAAACATTAACGACAAAGTTAACAAGATATCGGAGAACTTAAAAAGATGACGAATGGGACATAAAAAGATCATTTTAGATTGCAACAGAACAAAAGATTTTTCTTAACAGAAAAGTAATGAGCTTCGGAAGGGGTGATTTTATTTTTTAACATAGTTGTGTTATGTGTAATTATTTGGAGAATTCATGTCCACCAGTTTGGCAAATTTACAGCAGTTTTAGCGGAAAATGAAACATAAGAAATCACCAGGGATCTTTGCGGGGACGCAGATAACCTCTAGTTTTGTTTTACCTTATGTGGTTTGCATCCTTCTCTTCTTCTTCTTCTTCTTCTTCTTCTTCTTCTTCTTCTTCTTCTTCTTCTTCTTCTTCTTCTTCTTCTTCTTCTTCTTTCTTCTTTTTCTTTTTCTTTTTTCTTTTTCTTCTTTGTCTTTTTCTTCTTCTTTTTATTTTCTTCTTCTTCTTCTTCTTTCTTTCTTCTTCTTCTTCTTCTCTTCTTCTTCTTTCTTCTTCTTCTTCTTCTTCTTCTTCTTCTTGCTTCTTCTTCTTCTTCTTTCTTCTTCTTCTTCTTCTCTTCCTTCTTCTTCTCTCTTCTTCTTCTTCTTCTTCTTCTTCTGCTTCTTCTTTTTCCTCCTCCTCGTTATATGCGCTCTTAGAGGAAAACGCATACTGCCAAGTGTCCACTGTGTGTGCCTTGCTTCAGACACATACAAGAGCCCCATACAGAAGAGCAAGGAGAGACCAGTATGTACGCCACCATAAGATAGGCATACGTAACAAGTTAACAACCCCAATATATCTGGCACAGGTTACATGGCCTCTGGTAACCATGAACATTGTCCAAGAACGGTGTTATATATTACATCACGCAAAGTATGATCTTGTAGTGCGATCAATCTCTTCATTATGGACGGACAAATTGCAGCCAAGATGAACTATTGGGCACCCCGTGAACAAGCTTGCCACACAGCCTCAACTGTGCCCACCCTACACATGGCCGACACAGGTCCGTTCTAGAATATCACTCTGACAAAATAAGAAGTGCAACCCACGATCCACTAGTCATTCAGACAGTTCACAAGCTTCAATAGAATAAAACCACACCGTCATAATCAAATAATATGCGCACACAGTAAATACACATGGCCGTTGCTAGAGGTGCTAATGTTAACAGTCCATACCAGAAATACAGTTTGTCGTTGATGGAAGTAGCTGGTCCCGACAAGTTGGCTATAAAGTCAATTAAATAAGCGTTTCTTGCAACTTCAGGTGTACTGAGCACACAGGGCTTGAATATAATTCATAGGATAAAAGTTCTGTTATAGGTTGAGAACACATTGTGACCAAAACGTACCACCATACCGTCTATGATGCGCCTTTTTGTCATGGTCTTGATAATTACATGTGTTTGGTGTGTGTGTGTGGGGGGGGGGGGAATAGAGATGCGTGGGTGTCTTCCTGCCATATATTAAAGGGCACGATATCTGAAGAAGGTTGAAAACCACTGTTCTTTACGATAATGATGATGCAAAAACAGTATTAGTTTCAGAACAGCTGCATAAAACAAACGATCGGTCTGACAAGTGGAAAAGGTGAAATTGTTAGGCAGGCACGACTGAGACTTCACAATTTTAAGCGGTCAATATTATCAGCCACTTTTTGGCCGCGGAGGAACGCCCCCGAGAGTACATGGTGGCTGATCTTATTATCTCATCTCTTGTGGACAGGCGGCTATTTTGTGTCAACTTGCTTACCCTCAAGGGGATATGTTGTTGTATGTTTTCTTGTGTAACTGAGATAGTTGATCCTTCTCTCTTTGTTTTTGTTAGTGTATTTCTGTCTGTATTTCTTCCTTCCGTCCATTCTGCCTTCTTTCTGTCTGTATTTCTTTCTTACGCTGTTTGTCGTGATTAAAAAAAAAAAAAACTATTGTTGTTGTCACTGTTGTCGCTGTTATTGTTTTGATTTAATTGTTGTTACTGTGCTTATTGTTATTTCTGTTGTTGTTGTTGTTGTTGTTAATGTTTTTATTCTTCTTCTTCTTTGTGTTCACCAGCTGTAAAACATTGGTGTTGTTTTTATTGTTGATGTTGTTGCTATGTGGGTTGTTTTATTTTGCTGTTGTTGTTTTCAAAAGTTTTTATCCATGTTGATATTTTTGCTGTTGTTTTTGTGAGTGTGTGTGTGTGTGTGATTTTTGTGTGTGTGTTAGTTCCTCCTATTATCAGTAGTCCTCCTAATATCATTAGTATTCCTCCACTTGCGCTGCCTTCTGTTCTTTTTCTTTTATGTCTGTTCTCTCATTCACAATCACTCTGAACGGTAATCTCCAAAAACACTACAGCAAGTATCACTCGATGACATTCCCCAACGTTACTCCTTGAAGATTTCCGACAGACGATATATATGTTCATGACAAGACTATCTGAAAGTCGGCTAGCTTGTCATGCTCTACAATAACTATCTTCCTCTCTGTGAGACTGACAGTTACTTCTCTAGTCTGAAATTAGGAATACACTTTATAGATATCCGTGAGAGGTAGCGGATGGGCGTTAAATTGACGAAGATATCTATATGTGCCCAGGACAATACATTTGTCAGTCTCCAAAACTGTTAGATACTGGTGTTAATATTTCGGAAGGTATTTCGGGTGCACTTAGGGGCAATGACTAAAGATACGGCAACGGTGGAGACAAAGATAAAGTAGAAGACTAGATACTAGCTAAATGTTTTAGTTAGATCCCTGTTTTCACAAAACACAAATTTAGTTCAGTGGTGGAGATCAAGATGAGGTAGAGGACGGAAGAACAACATTTTATTTCACTTAGTCTATTCAATATAAGTGTAGCACAACACAACTTATACGTCTAAGGGAGTCAAAACATGTTCTTTACCTATTGTCCCATTACATGTCGTTGGCATAGAAGCGTTGTTTTTGTGTTCCAATAATATCTTCAGCATATGTTTCTATTGGTCAGGTTGTGAAGAGATCAGACATAAGAGAAACGCCCATTATGAAGATTGACACATCATGAAGCCTCCAGAAAGTGACTGTTCTCAACTTCCACTATGTGAGGGACAGCCCACGGACGAAGTGGTCATCGATGAGGAACGACGTGATGACGTGGCAGTCTTGACCAGTGAGAATGGACTCTCTGGCAGCCGCACAGTCAACGGTATCTGTCTGTCTGTGTATCTGTCTGTCAGTGTATCCATCTGGGTCTCACTTTCTATCTATCTGTCTGTCTATCTGTCTGTGTCTTACTTTCTACCTATCTGTCTATTTGTTTGTATTTATGTCTGTGTCTCACTCTCTGTCTATCTGTCTGTCTGTGTATCCGTCTGTGTCTGCCATTTTTATCTATCTGTCTGTCCGTGTCTTACTTCCTGTCTATCTGTCTGTCTATCTGTCTGTGTCTCAGTTTCTGTCTATCTGTCTATGTCCCACTTTTTTTCTATCTGTCTGTGTATCCGTCTGTTTCTCACTTTCTATCTATCTGTCTGTCAATCTGTATGTGTCTCACTTTCTGTCTATTTGTCTATCTATCTGTATGTATCTGACTTTCTGTCTATTTGTCTGTCTGTGTATACGTCGGTGTCTCACTTTCTATCTATCTGGCTGTCTGTGTCCCACTTTCTGTCTATCTGTCTGTGTCTTCCTTTATATCTATCTATCTATCTATCTATCTATCTATCTATCTATCTATCTATCTATCTATCTATCTATCTATCTATCTATCTATCTATCTATCTATCTATCTATCTATCTATCTATCTATCTATCTATCTATCTATCTATCTATCTATCTATCTATCTATCTATCTATCTATCTATCTATCTATCTATCTATCTATCTATCTATCTATCTATCTATCTATCTATCTATCTATCTATCTATCTATCTATCTATCTATCTATCTATCTATCTATCTATCTATCTATCTATCTATCTATCTATCTATCTATCTATCTATCTATCTATCTATCTATCTATCTATCTATCTATCTATCTATCTATCATATCCATCCATCCATCCATCCATCCATCATCCATCCACCTCCATCCATCCATCATCCATCCATCCATCCTCCATCCATCCATCCATCCATCCATCCATCCATCCATCCATCCATCCATCCATCCATCCTCCATCTCCATCCATCCATCCATCCATCCATATCCATCCATCTCCATCCATCCATCCATCCATCCATCCTCCATCCTCCATCCATCCATCCATCTATCTATCTATCTATCTATCTATCTATCTATCTATCTATCTATCTATCTATCTATCTATCTATCTATCTATCTATCTATCTATCTATCTATCTATCTATCTATCTATCTATCTATCTATCTATCTATCTATCTATCTATCTATCTATCTATCTATCAATCTATCTTGTCACCCGTCCTCCTGCCATCCGCCCGTCCGTCTTTATGTCTGTCTCTCTGTTTATCTGTCTGTCTGTCTTCTGTGTGTCTATTTGTCTGTCTGTATGTCTCTGTTAGTCCGTCTCCCCGTCCGTCTCCCCGTCTGTCCGTCTCTCTGTCATTCCTATATATGTCTGTCTGTCTGTCTGTTTTGTCTGTCTTCCTGTGTGTCTATTTGTCTGTCTGTATGTCTCTGTTTAGTCTGTCCCAGTTCGTCTCTCCCCGTCTGTCCGTCTCTCTGTCAGTCCTATATATGTCTGTCTGTCTGTTTGTCTGTCTTCTGTGTGTCTATTTGTCTGTCTGTATGTCTCTGTTAGTCCGTCTCCCCGTCCGTCTCCCCGTCTGTCCGTCTCGCTGTCAGTCCTATATATGTCTGTCTGTCTGTTTGTTTGTCTGTCTTCTGTGTGTCTATTTGTCTGTCTGTATGTCTCTGTTAGTCCGTCTCCCCGTCTGTCCGTCTCTCCGTCAGTCCTATATATGTCTGTCTGTCTGTCTGTCTGTCTGTCTGTTTGTCTGTCTTCTGTGTGTCTATTTGTCTGTCTGTATGTCTCTGTCTGTCCGTCTCCCCGTCCGTCTGTCCGTCTCTCCGTCAGTCCTATATATGTCTGTCTGTCTGTTTACGTTTGTAACCACCTATCAACCTACCTACCTGACTACATACTTAGTTTGCTGTCTGTTTTTCCTGTCCATTTAATGATTCTGAAAATACATTTCTTTTCTTTCTTCGATCTGTCTGTTTTTATTTTTCGTTACTGCCCTCCAACCTACCTACCCATGTCACTGACTGCACTGAACTCTTTCTTTCTGTTGTGCTTGTTAAATGTTTTGTTTTTTTAATGGCAAAATCAATTCCGTGCCATTTTGTTCAGTTGGTCGACTTGGTCCACTTAATCGTCGCATTGGCTGAGATAAACGGTAATGGAGAGAAAGCCCTCACCCAACTCACAGACATTACTTTGTAGGTTTGTTCAGGATGGTTTGACTCGTAACTTTCTCTTGAAGTGAACATGCCAATATTTTGAAACAACTGGGGCCTATGTGTATATCTATATACGAACCTACACACTTTAAGTATGCCACCGTCTTGAAGAC